TTCATCAAATATTACTTAGAATAATCCACATAGATAGAAAAAAATGTCACGGATACTTTAATCTATTGCCAAAGTATATATATTTACTTTTATTTCTGTCTGTGAGACAGTTTTAGTAAAAAATTGTTGTTTACAATAATATGTCAATATGGCATAGTTACGTACCATTTCACAAAAGTATCGATATAATCTCCCATTTAAAATTCAACATATATTATACTAAATAATCTATTTTAACAATGGATGTCTCCGCATTTTTGTGTAACGCTAAAGTAAGACGTCAGTATTTTGGTATTGGTTTTAGTTACATAAGTAGAAGTTCGAATTATCATGTTTTATAATTATACGGGCGCGATTGACAGAGCGGCGTTGGCGACGATCCCAGTGCGACCACCAAGCGTAATAATAAAAAGTGAGATACATACAATAAGATTGACTTCACTACATATCTATTTGTGCTAACGTAGTTTCGAAGATATCATCGCTTAATCAGACGCGCCGAAATTGTGCGCGAGCACTTCACAAATACCCACAGGTTTTCCACATATATAAAGATAAACATTTAACAAACACTATCTTTTTCTATTTCACCATTCCATTAAACGCTGTTCATAAACACAGTCCTATTTTTTTAAAAGACGCTTTACGTAGAATTATATGAATAACAAACAATAACAATGAAACAATGAATTTATTTTTGCAAATAGGCCATAAAACGGCACTTTTACACGTCAATTTATATGTAAAAAACTAGATGAAGCCGGCATTTCCTATCTGACTACTCTGAGAAGAAATGCCGAAACAAACTCAGAGGTCAGTCTCTTTTCAAGTCCAGACAATGTAAAAATAACATAATGTGAGAGAACCGTGCAAGTTCATTCTGTAGTGGTCTTTTGATGAAAGAACCACACCAGTTTAAGTGGACCCGTTCTGAAGACAGGCACGCAAGTGTCAGTTTGCAACCAGCATAGCAAGTGCTGCTGAGTTGTCCGACGAACAATACCGATCTAAAGAACATTTGGTTGGGTCACGCAAGTACTCAAACTGTCAGAACGCAGATAACTGGTAGTCCAAAAGCGCGGCAAGTCTCACACGGTCCTTACACTAACAATAATAGAAAATAATAATAATGTCAATAAATAATTATAAAAATAATAAATAAAATAAAAAATGTCAAATAAAAATAAAAATGTCACAATAGGTGATAATGTCATTGTTAAAAAAATAAACGTAATGTCAAATTGTATATAAAAAGCGTAACTTATGTTACAAACATGTCAACATGACCTGTGCAGAATTTACAGCGGCTCATTCCCAAGCCTGACTATCTTCTAAGTAGTCTTTTATTTTATAAAATGCTTTACAGTAAAGTTTAGCCTTTATTACACTTTTAAAATTATTGAGGCTCAAATTTTGAATATCCCTAGGAATTTTATTGTAAAAGCGTATACATTGACATCTAAACGAACTACTTATTTTCTGAAGCCTGGAGGCGGGGACAACATATTTGTTTTTCCCCCTCGTGTTAATATTATGTATATCACTATGCTTCTTAAATAAGCTTTTGTTTTTATGAGCGTGAATTACATTTTCATAAATATATTGTGAGGCAACCGTCATTATCTTAGTTTCCTTAAATAATTCTCTGAGCGAATGCCTCGGACTAAGATTATAGATTGATCGAATAGCCCTTTTCTGCAGAACAAAAATAGACTGAATGTCAGCAGCATTCCCCCACAACAAAATACCGTATGACATGATGCTGTGGAAATAACTAAAATAAACTAACCGCGCTGTATCTACATCTGTTAAATTTCTAATTTTTTTAACGGCATATGCTGCAGAACTGAGCTTCTTCGACAAGCCATCTATATGTGGGCCCCACTGGAGCTTAGCGTCCAGGGTTATACCTAAAAAGACAGTTGTATCTACAGGACTCAACTCCTCGCCCTTGACAAGCACACTGGTTTTAACCTGTTTAACATTTGGTGTTGTGAATTTAATACATTTAGTTTTAGTTTCGTTAAGTAATAAGTTATTAACACCAAACCAGTGAACTATTTCTGAGAGAGCACTGTTTACATTGTCAATAACTAATTGTCGTCGTCTGAGTTTGAATAATAGTGAGGTATCATCAGCAAACAGCACTATCTCGTGTTTATCCCTTACAAGGTAAGGCAAGTCATTAATATAGATAAGAAATAAAAACGGGCCGAGGATAGAACCCTGCGGAACACCCATCCTCACAACAGATCCGGCAGAAACCACTCCGTTTACTTCAACTCTCTGAACCCTATTACTCAGGTATGAGGTAAGAAGGTCCAGAGATGCACCTCTTATTCCGTAATGGGATAGCTTCCTGATCAGTGTATCATGAAGCACACAATCAAACGCCTTGGATAAATCACAAAATATTCCCAAAGCGTCGCTTGAGTCCTCCCATGCGTCGTAAATGTGATTAAGAAGTTCAACACCGGCATCAGTTGTTGAACGACCCCTTGTAAATCCGAACTGTTTCGCATGTAATAATTTATTTCTATTAAAAAATCTTTGCATTTGATCTAAAATAATTTTTTCAAAAATTTTACTGAACGTAGGTAGCACTGAAATCGGTCTAAAGTTAGTGGGGTCAGAAGTACTACCTGATTTAAATAATGGAATTATTTTACTACATTTCATAAGATCAGGAAACACACCACAGTCAATACAGTTATTAAAGATTTGAGCTAATACAGGTGCTACAATAGATATTACAGAGCTTGTAATATACACAGAATTACCCCATAGATCTGCAGTCTTTTTGTTATTCAAAGTATTAAAGATTTTAACAATTTCTTTGTTATCTATGTGCTCGAAGGAAAACCCTGAATCGCAAGCTACAACATGTTTTTTGAGTAAAGACTCTGCAACAGTGGGAGATGAATTCAGTGACTTAGTAGTGGATACAGGAATGTCGGAAAAGAAATTTTCAAAAGCAGTTGCAATTTCTACATCCGCTTTTATTAACTTATTATCAATTACAAGACTATGTTGATTTATTCTCTTTTTAGACCTTCCTGCCTCACTATTGATAATATTCCAAGTGTCTTTGATAACATTGGTACTGTTCTTTATCTTAGAGCTTAAGAATAGTGATTTAGCAATAGAGCAAACCTTTTTGAATAATTTAGAATAGTTTTTTACATATTCACTGAATTCAACAGTGTTAATATATGTCCGCTCATTATAAAGCTCATAGAGGCGATTTCTACTCTTATAGATACCAGTGGTTGCCCAATCACCGAAAGACGCATTGCTATTAGCTGGTATAGTTTTATCTGTAAAAGTAGACTTAAACTCTGTTAGGTACATTTTAAAAAACTTATCATATAAAGTGTTAGAATTCTTATAATTCAACAACAAAGGCAATTTGTTGCTGAGTTTAGCTTTGAAAAATTCAATGCGTCTTTTAGTCTTCGGATTAACTGTGATAAATTGTTTTGACACTATATTTATTTCATTTGTTAAAGAAATTAACTGACCACAATGATCGGAATCAAGTACTGAAATTATTTCTTTGTTAACTGGCACAATGTCAGTATAAATATTGTCCAGGCAAGTGGCACTAGTGGGTGTTATCCTAGTTGGCTCCAGAAACAAATTCGCAAGGTTGTATGAAGAAAATAAACTTACAATTTTTGTGCTTAAACTACATTTTTCTAATAAATTTATATTAAAATCACCACATGTAATGATGGATTTCTTTGAATTTGTAAGTTTACTAAGAACTTCATCCATTACTGTTTCAAAACAGTCATACATACCAGAAGGTGGTCTATACACGCTTAATACAATAAACCGCTCCAATTCCACACAGGCTATTTCAACAGTACGCTCAACAGAGTAACTAACTATATCTTTGCGATCTTTGAATTTAAGCTGGTTACTTATCAGTATAAGTGACCCACCATGTATAGCGTTTTCTCTGCTGAACGAGCTACCAATCTGGTGCTTACCAAAATTGAACATGAGCTGATGGGGTTTTAGCCAATACAAATTCGACTTGAGAAAATCATTAGCCAATCAAGAGACCAATTTAACCCCGGGTTCCGGGCTCTAGCTAGGCCGACGGCAAAGTAGGAACAGGAGTTGATTTTAGTCAGTAACGGTCTGTCCCGAAAAAGGCCGGAGATGACATTAGATGATTTCCCATAAAAAATACCGTTAATCAGCTGGCTAATCCCTAAAACTATACCTACGTAGAACTCTTACTCAAATTGTATCGATACTCGATAAATACTTAGTCGGCACAACCCTAGCAACGGCAGCCATCTTATGCGACATTTTGGATTGTAGGTAGGCACCTTTGTTTCGTAGGTATTTCAAGTCCATATATTTCCTATTCAATGGAACAGAACATACAACAGCAGTGACACCTAGCGTGTTAAATGGGCAGCTGTTATTCCAAATTCCCAACCCACAATAGGTACCTTGTGCAATGATTCTCATTGGGTTTAACTACGATTTTTCTATAAATATACGAAAAAAAATCAATCAATTAGTAATCTCAAAGTTATTAAAATCTAGTGTTTGCTATCTCTCTCTAATGTAGTAAAAAAACCGGAACACATTGTAACGCCTATTTACATTTTTCATCCCACTCTGAGTCATGAAATTAGGGCAACAAAATTATAAGAGAGAGTGGGATATCAAGATATCGTCAAGCAAAGGACGACACTGCACTGCTCGTGTTTAAATCGATAACTGCGCGTTGCGCGTTGCAGTATTCGCAAGTCAAATGTCAGCCAAAAAAGCAGCCAGCCAGCTGCCAGGCTCTGAATCCGCATAGCCGAGTACTAAAACTAAAAAGAAAAACTGGTTGAAATCCATAAATTACAGAATCGATTCATTAAACGAAATATGTCAGTAAGACAATTCGAAAACGAAATATATTGAAGAAAGAAGCTGTCTAATTAATTACAAAATATACAAATATTTTTAAAGTTGTTATTCTACCAAATCTTAATTCGGTGCCATTTCGTAATGTTTGAAAATGTGATGGATCGGTGAAGGTCACAGCTTCTGTGGAAAGTATTATCGACGTCAGTTCGCTACCGTCGTACACATTTTGTCGTGTTTGCGAACGATACACGGTTTACGTAACAAGGTCTCTTGACAATACTTTGCATTTGGATATATCACAATTATATTCGTTAAGATGTGGGCTGTGTGGACAAGAACCGTACGCAGCGGGCGCTCATTTGAGCGTTCACTATCCAGCATTGTGGAGTTGCCCAAGTTTCAGGACTTTGGCGTGCAGAATGAGCCAGTTTTGGAATATAGGGAGGGGAGCGGCGAGCGCTCTGCGCTTGCTGAGGAGCTGAAGAGAACCGCTGCTGTTACTGAGGAGGTACCAATTGTTATTGGCGGAGAAACTATTAAGGAAGGTGAGCCGCGTTACCAGGTGATGCCTCATAACCACTCCAAAAAAATTGCTAAATTCTACTATGCGAGTGAGAAAACCATACAAAAAGCTATTAAAGTGTCAGTAGATGCCCAAGCACGATGGGACCGAACGCCTTTGCAGGAGCGTATCCGTATCTGGCAGAATGCTGCAGAACTGATGGCTGGTTCCCACAGACAAAAACTGAATGCTGCCACTATGCTGGGCCAGTCTAAGAGTGTAATACAAGCAGAGATAGATTCAGCTGCTGAACTTATTGATTTCTTCAGATTCAATGTATACTTCTTAAAAGAGAATGCCAAATATCAACCAATTTCGGAAAACCCATCAGTGACAAGAAATTCTCTAAGATTCCGTGGCATTGACGGCTTTATTGCAGCAATCAGCCCATTTAACTTCACAGCGATCGGGGGCAACTTGGCCTACACACCGGCTCTCATGGGTAATGGTGTTGTATGGAAGCCATCTGATACAGCTCTTTTGTCAAATTGGCGGATCTTCAACATAATGCGTGAGGCGGGGCTGCCTGATGGCATTGTTAACTTTGTTCCAGCTGATGGCCCCACATTTGGCCGCACAATTACTTCATCCCCTCATCTAGCAGGTATTAACTTCACTGGCTCAGTTCCTACATTCAACTGGCTGTGGAATGAAGTTGGAAAAAATCTTAGCCATTATAAAAATTATCCTAGGCTAATTGGTGAATGTGGAGGAAAAAATTATCATTTTGTGCACCCTTCAGCAGATATTCAGACTGTAGTGACTGCAACAATTCGCTCAGCATTTGAATATTGTGGACAAAAGTGCTCAGCGTGCTCAAGAATTTACGTTCCCAAATCTCTGGCTGAGCCAATAAAGCATGGGTTACAGCAGGAGCAAGCTAAATTAAAAATTGGAGACCCATCAGATTTCAAAATTTTTGCTGCTGCAGTGATTGATGATAAGGCCTTTAATAGAATCACAGGTTACATCAAAAATGCCAAGAAAAGCTCTAAAAATAAAATCATTGCTGGAGGTGAATTTGATGACAGCAAGGGCTACTTTGTCCAGCCCACTATTATTGAGACCACTGACCCACATGACAAGCTTATGACTGAAGAGATTTTTGGCCCTGTACTAACCATGTATGTGTATGATGATAGTGAAGTGGACAAGACCATGAAGCTCATTGGGTCATCAACCAAGTTTGCTTTGACTGGAGCTGTGTTCTCAATGGACAAGACCTTCCTACAAAAGGCTCTAGATGAGCTCAAGATGACTGCAGGCAATTTCTACATCAATGACAAGTCAACTGGATCAGTAGTAGGCCAGCAGCCATTTGGTGGAGGCCGCATGTCGGGTACCAATGATAAAGCAGGCGGGCCTGGCTATGTCATGCGTTGGACAACACCCCAGTCCATCAAGGAGACATTTGTGCCTCTGCGTGACATTGACTATCCTTACATGAGAGATTAAAGCAAAAATGGAAGAAACCTCAATGAAGATTATAAGTAAACACTAATTGATATCAGTACAATAACAATAATTACATACATATTCAATAATAATGATAACTTAGTTAAGTTGGCTGAATAATTAGGCTTACTTAGTAGGTGTTAGAATGTTATTCTCATGATGTAACTTTAAAGTATTATTTTCTTTAAAACAATTAAAGATTATTAATAATTGTTAGACTTATAAAAAGTAGCAATTTACTAAGTAAGTTATGTAAACAACAAGAACAAAAGATGTAATAATTTGTGTAAGGCAGGTACTTGATTATGTACCTTTGTGTTGTTGCTACAATATAACAAAGCTAATATATACCTGTTATTTGAGATAGAAGCACTAGGGTAGAGTTGGTTGTTAGGATGATATGATGCAATCATTTGTGTGATAATTAATGTTTAATTTTTAATAATTTTACTAGTGGTCGTCTCTTCTTGCTTGCTATCGCGTCGCAACTGTCTTATCTGACTATTATTTGCTCTTTACTTGTTATCAATATACAGTTTATCTGTTTGACATTCAGTTTCGTCTGCTCTCTGATATAAAAAATGCATTTAACTTACTCCATTCAGTTTGTTACTAAAGAGAGAACCTTTGTTTTGTTAATAATTTTGTCATTTCAGGTGCTAGTTCCTGTTTATTTGTAACTAAGTGTTTTCGACTATGTTTGACCCTTCAATAAAATAAAAGTTTATTAAATTATATGTTGTTTCAATTGCGTCATTTTAAATTTGAGCTATAAGTAGATTTGTTTTAAAAATTAGTACCTGTTACTGTAGCAGAAAATTAGTGTACCTACCTAGGACAGAATACTTTTTTAGATATGGAAACTATCTAGCTAGAATAACTGCTGCACTTGTACATGATTCTCTTTATTTTACCTTTACAATTTCCAAGGCTCGAGCTTCTTTCCATAGTTATGTTACTTGTGTAAACCACGCAGAGATAGACATTCTCGCCTGGCTCTCTATATAGGCATATCATATGGAATGGAATTCCATTTACCCCTAAGTCATCCCTATGCCCAGACAGATTACTAGTAGTACTAGGTACGAGAATAATACTGTTCAGGCGTAAGGCGTTTGCACCGCATTAGATTTCGATTCTGGATTCAAAAACAATTTCGATAATAACGTTTAGGGAACAAGGTATTAAGTTGCTTAAAATCCGAAAAGGGAGGATATTTCGACCTGTCGAGTTCATGCCTGGCAGCTTGGGGTACGCTATCCAATCGCGTGCCAACTTAAAAACTTCTAATTTCAGCGATTTTTCCGATCAGAGACCTTCCTTCCTGTTTTCCCACCCAGACCGGGTGAAGCCATTTAATGAATTTCGAGGGAGAGTCGCACTTGTAAGTGCGAATCTGCCTCTCTCTCTCTGACTGATGTACCGGAGCCCAATAGCAAAACCCTAGATATTTTTCGAGCGGCGAAAATCATCGAATTCTTTCTCCCATGTTAATTGGGAGAGACGGAGTGTCAGGACGACTAACAACGGCGGTTCAAATTAAATTTAAAAATGAAGCGAAATTTAATTATTCCTTCCTCTCTTTTCGTTTCTTCTGTTTCGTACATAGATTTACCTATATAGGTAAATAAAGTGCCCGAGGAAAGACCTCGACATATTCTGAAGCGGCAAATAGGAAATGAAAATGTTTTTTATCCATTACCTACTTCTAAAACCCTCTGCGGTCGAGTAATGTTTTAGACTATTTTTTTTAATGGAATGAATATGCAGTCGGTCGTGCAACGCTCGTAATGTTTCCTATGGTCCTACGGCGGCTCATACCCTCCTCCCCACCCCCTACTTTGCGAGCAAAGGCTGACTTAATCTATCCCTATGTCTAGTTTGAAAGCCATTTTGGAGGTATGAGGAACAGGGTGGAAAGTTCCTCATCCTCCATTGAAAAGGGAGGATCCTCCGACCAGGCGAGGTGTTCGTGCCTGGTGGGCTACTGCCCGACGGTTGTTGTCGGGATATCTGTATGGGTGCTAATTGTGTGGAAAACTCTTATAGCGCGATGTAGACTCTTGCTCGTGATTGGTGCTGTTGTTTATGTAGTGCGCTAGATGTCGCTACATCACTCCCCTCCGAGACCGGAGGTCGTTAGCTGGTTGAGACGTCTGTGAGATGCTTGTAGAGCCAGTTGATGGTTTCAGTGCGTCGAATCTGTCTGCGAAGATGCCCCAGTGAGTCGGGTGGTGCAGTGCTGAAGAGTGGCTAGCTGCTGCGTCGACCAGGAGAGGGAGTACGTCTCTGCTTGCTGACCGGCCGGTGTAGTATGCTGTGCCGAAGTTGCTGATGAGGCTGTAGGTGCTGACCAGGAATGCGCGTCGGCTGCATGCTGGTGGTCAGGGAACCCGTTGTAGCCGTGGAAGCTGGCTGGCTGTAGACTCGCTGCTTGAAAGCTCGAAGAAGTGATGACGTCATGGCTATGACGTAGTTGCACGAAGGCTGCTTGATGTTCATGCTCGGGGTCACCAGTTTAGAGGTATGAGGAACAGGGTGGAAAGTTCCTCATCCTCCATTGAAAAGGGAGGATCCTCCGACCAGGCGAGGTGTTCGTGCCTGGTGGGCTACTGCCCGACGGTTGTTGTCGGGATATCTGTATGGGTGCTAATTGTGTGGAAAACTCTTATAGCGCGATGTAGACTCTTGCTCGTGATTGGTGCTGTTGTTTATGTAGTGCGCTAGTTGTCGCTACACCATGTTTTCTCAGATACTTTGACAAATAAAGCATATGAGGAAGGTGAGGACACCGTGATATTTGATTCCATTCCACCATTAATGCCAGCGTGATGGCTGTGGGTGCCTGAGCGGTGCCGAAACCAGTGTAAACTGCCCCTAGGTCCGATGTGTCAAAACTGGAAACTATATAGTTTAGTCTAAGACGACTATGCGACCCGCAAAATTTTCAGTGCGACTACAAGTTTGTACGTATTGCCGTTAGTGGAAGAGCTGAAAGACCTCCACTTTCTAACCGAATGCAGATGTTTCAAGGCTTTTTTTTATGTGATAGGTCGGCAAACAAAATGACTGATTGCCTGATGGGACAGCAACTGCAGGAGTAACTAGTGCGTTGCTCACCTTTTTGGATTTAGAGATTGGAGGAGGGGGCAGAAGGAATGGTCCTCCGGTAACCTCACTCACACGGCGAAACACAACGCTGTGATTATTTCACGCCGGTTTTCTGTGAGGCCGTAATATCACTCCGGTCGAGCGAACCCATTCGCCATGCCGAAGCATGGCTCTCCCACACTTCACGTTAGAGAGCTCGTAAGAAAGAATACGCTTGGGCGTTCGTTGACGGGCGTATTCTGATCCCTGTTGAGATCAAGAATGCTAGTTAGCTGCAACTTGATTACAGCACAGCGAAGAAATGGGTGAAAATGATCACTAGGAAGATGTCGCCATCACGTCGGTTTTTCCACTGTATGCAACGGTAAAAGTAACGACCTAATTTTAAATGTGGAAAGGACACGAATGGATTTGACCGGAGTGATACCACACAGTTACAAAATACCGGCGTGAAGTAACACTTACTTTGTATTTCGCCGTGTAAGTGAGGTTACCAAATCAAATCCACTATCCTTAATTCAATAACCTACAAACCGGTAACGCATTTGTAGACTTTGGTATATTGCGTAATAAATTTAGCTACGTGAAATTATAAATTTAAAATATATAGGTATTATTTGTTCTTTCGTTTCACGCGGGACCATAGGGTCCCGGACTTTTGGATGGCGTTCGAGGAGCCGAAGCCAACTCGTAGAGGCCCGTTGAACAGTTTATTCTAAATGTGACGGAACAGCCGCCAATTATCCCTGTATGCACTATAAAAGTGCATTCAAGGACCATCCCCGGTTGATGCAGGACTATTGTGCAAAATGGTAAAAGATTATATGGTTATGGGTGTGGGTGGCTATGGACCGGTAGGTGATAGCTATAGAAATACTATGGCCCCTGCCCCTGACCAATATTGTTACATACGGATAAACAGTCAGGGGGTGACTGGCTAACTTAATTTAGGTATGGGCCCCCGGAAACAGCCACTAGCATGTAGCGAAACAGGGGCTGATGGGGAAGGAGACGCATCCCACGTGTAGTGTATACCTATAGTTCTAAGTTCGCATATATCAATGTATCTTACTCGTGTATTTAAATATCAATCCTTATTAATAAAAGTCAGTATTTAATCAGCAGTCAAGTGTTTTACTCAATACAATCCTTACATGGCGATCCTGCCAGGATTGGTATTGAGGTGTCGGGTAGCCATGCCGGCATACGACGTTGGTGGTACAGACTCTCATCCTAAGTGTACGTTGCGTTATTGAACTTTCAAAATTAATATATTAAAAACCAATAAACTTTAAAATGTGCAATTCTAATACTCCAAAACGTGAAGAAGTGATTATAAACCAGAATGGCATTGGAGCTACGAATGTGGCTAGTACCGAACAGCTACAGTTTCATGTTTCTGCGATCAGCATAGTGATGATGATAATTCTGGGTTTGTTGCTGATAGTGGCAGCCTATTTTTTGTACAAATGCTATAAAAACTGCCATCACCAGTGGATCAATGACCAAATCCTACGTCAATACCTGAGGAATTCGACTTATCGGCGTAGTCGCAGGGAAACTACAGAAAGAAAACGATGTCCAGCATGCTCAAGCAGTCCCGGACAGAGGCGTTCACCTCATAAGGAAGATCTCGGTGCGTAACCCAAAGTTCGATACCAAGTGCGCGTAAAGTGAGTGCAAAGTGTGCGTAAAGTGAAATCCTAAAGCGTTGAACTATGTGTGGTAAGCGGTTTATATTGTACAACCTAATTATTAGTTACTATTACTTACGCTAGTTGCTTCACTTTCCTTAAAAATGTCAAATAATGGCACTAGAGCTCAATGATATATACGAAAAGTTGAGAAAATTAAAAGAGAATTTGTTTAAGTTAAGTTTGGAAAGGAGGACACCAGAACGTTTGAAAGAAAAGTTGAATGAAGCAACTATTATATACAATGATTATTCTGTTTTACTTGTAAGCATTAGAAAGCAAATAGATAATAAGACAATTAGTGGCGAAAGTTTATCATTAGTTAAATCTCATTGTGACAAAATTGTAGAGTTAAACGCCCAAATTCAAGAGTTTTGTA